TTGATAAGGCTACCACATTACTTTATAATGCAGTTTCAAAGTTATTACTGTTACAACAGAGGCCCTGCTTCTTGTGCAAACTACTTTTTCCTCCAGTGATGGAAAAATATACAGAAAGGTTTCTCTAAATTATCAGTGTAGAGAGCAATGATTCTCAACCTTGGGTCTCTAGAAGTTCTTGGACTAAAACTCCTCAAAATCTTCACCACTAGTTGTGCTGGCCAGGATTTCTGGGACTTGTAGTCCAAGAACATCTGGGGATCCAAAGTTGGGAAGCACTGGAGAGAATCCTGTAGAACTTAGGTTCTCTTCAGTATCCTGGATCCAGGCTACATAAGGCTTTAAACAGAAGAACCATCGTCATGAACTGCTTAATGAGTTTAAGTATAAATGAAATATGCTCCCTGTGACAGCTACCGGTCCACAGCCAGTCACATACCATTTATGAACAATGTCCAACCCAATAAAATGCTTATGCATAAAAGGCTACAATTGGCAGAAGCCAACCAATCCTGAAGTAATTCACATATTCTCCAGTACCGACAACCCCACCTTCATCCCCATCATTATATGTCTATTCAGGCATTCTCCCTTACAAAATTAACAACTACTTGAGTGGAAGGGGCTTCACCTAGTTATGCAGGGTTTGACATTATGAGAAGGTCTACAAAAGAAGTACTCTCCTGTGCAGAGATACCTCCTCAATGTGCACATGTCATGGGCCCATGCTCTCCCTCTCACACAATTATTAACTGGAAAGTGCCTAAGCAATGCTAATCTCTCTTCTTTATTTCACTAATCTTGAACTTGTTCAAGCTTCTTCCTCTCTTCTATTTTCTGTCTTCTACATTTTAAGACTAAAGTATGTTTCTCCACCATTCTTTGAACACAACATAGCTGACTATAGGTACAGTGGACCCGCAACTTATGGAATTAATCCGTATTGGAACAGTGGCTGCAGGTCGAAAAGTCTGTAGGGCGAGGCTCCATTGACCTATAATGCATTGAAAACCAATTATTCCGTAACTGGCCATTTTTGTTCCATTTTGTTCCCCCCCCCCCCCCGGTCTGTAGGTTGATTCTCCAGCTGCAAGTCGAACCTAAATTTTGCGGCCAGAGAAGTCTGTAACTCAAAAAGTCTGTAAGTCAAGCTGTCTGTAAGTCGAGGGTCCACTGTACTCAACAGATTATCTCAGTTACCACTGTGAAATGACTCAAATATAACCACAAATTGATCTTATGTCTACCATCTTTTCCTTTAAAAAAAAAAAGGACATTTGATTTGACCTAAAAAGCAAAGTGAATGAACAGATTTGCTTGCTCACAATAAACTTGCTAAATTATTTTCCCAGTAATGTTACAGAGGCATTTGAATCATTTAAGAATGATCATGAAACAGTCTCTAAGCACCAGATAATCTACAGATCTGGTACTGTACACAAAGCAGAACAGCAGTAATACAATAATTAAATAATTTCTTAGGTTGCTGAAATATGAACATGGATCTTCACAGATACCTGATTTTTTTCTGATGCAATTCTATGCATGTCATGTTACCAAAAGCCTCTAAAAGAAGATCATAAGTATTGAAGATGATTATACATTTGAGATGTTTGTGAGCAGCAGCATTAGCAGTCATTCCTCATTTGGAAAGCACTAAAAGTGAACCATTAGGAGACCAATGACCAGCTCTTACCAATCTGTTTCTGCTTCCCAAGAATCTTCCAGACCATGGACGATCAAGTGTTCCTGAGTAGCGCGTTGGAGAAGAAGCTGGAAGCTTCCATCGGCTTTCATATACTTCTCTTTCTCCAACTGCCCAATCTCCTCTACTGGAACTATGAAGTCTGCTAGATTCCTACAGAACATATATAGTTGTCTTTATTTAGTTCAATACATTGTATCTAACAGTTATTATGAGATGTAATATTTATAGCATTTAAACAACACTGGACTGTTTAACAAGTTTCTACTGCTGGGTTGTTATCCAAAACTTGCTGAGCCCCTCCTACCTTCTTAGATCCAATTCATCTAGAAAAGTGAAATTATTTCTACCCCCAGTATAGAGATTAGTTGACATGATCCAAAGAGGCTACAGACACAGTACATAACAGGAGACTTTTACCACAGGAAGGAACTATGTTTCTATTCAACTATGCTCTAAAGAGGAAGGGAGCTGAACATCATTACACTAACCTTTCCCTTCACTAGAAAGATGAAGAGACTTTTCCCATGAAACATGAATTTTTCCGAGTCTCTCCCCACTTCAGTTTTAGTACTGCCTAGGCAGCAAGACTAGAATCAATATAACTGGAGGTATGGAGAAGAAAGAACTTGGTGTGCTCTACAACCATTAGGTCCCTCAACAGCTTAACTTGGACGACTTCATCTTTCTTAAGCTAGCATTTCACCATCATGACAAACTACTGTCTGAGACTGGTGTTAAACATGATACCAGGCAGATTTAAAAAAAAACAAACAGATATTTACATTACACTACCAACAATGCAAGTATGCCATCTACTATTTCTCTTTCAATTGAAACCAAGTAAGAGCTGTTCACCCTTTTTAAATCAGTTCTAGTGCTTTACATAATCTTAATAAAATTACTGGCAAAATCTTATTGAGCAGCTATGTGTGTGCCAATTTGAGGTTACACACATTTAGTTGTGCTAGCAGTGAGGTAGAAGTGCTATACCTGAAGTACTTCTGCCAACACATTGCACAATCAGTAGTGCTGGGGACACATGACTAACTGCAATTTCATATCACAATTCCTTTTTGCCAGGCATAACAATCAGCACACTTATGCCAGCAAAACTTTATGTTACACCAACACAAACAGAATACTGGCCAGAGAGTTGTAATAGTTAACTAACTTACAACTGAAAATCCAATACAGAATTTTGAACAAAAAATGAAATAGAAATAAATGTTTCAAGATTATATAGATATTCATAACATTATTGGTAACCTATCCAGTGCATCCAAGAAGAATGTCCACAGTGGTTTTTTGGGAAGTTGTTTGTTTTGTTTATAAAGTGTTGTTGTTTTTAATTTTGGAAACTGTGGAAAATTACAATTCTCTGTGCCAAAGGTTCTGACTGAATACCAAGCTTGCACTTGCGATGCAGCAAATTTATTAGTAATAACCATTAAATTAAGCAGATGGAAAATAGAGAAATGGGTCTGTATATTGCAGGATTATGGATGTAGGGGAGAGAATACTGTCTCTGTAGAAGATCTATGCACAGAAATGCTTCGTAACTCTCTCAGTGGATGTTGGGACACTCAGTACTGGAACTGGAGCAGGCAAGAGCTATAGTATAACCTTTGAGCTTTATTTAGAAGACACATATCCTACCCTTCCACTACAGACACCACAGAGAGATAAAACTGTTTACCAGACCACATTCTGTTGCACAACTTTGTAATATGTGTTTGCTTGGCAGAAAAGGAGGCAGTGGTGTGCACTAATTACTCCATAATGAGCACATTTAATAGAACTGGGTTTTTTTATTTAAAGCAATTTCCTAAAGAATCTCCTTAGTTCTTCTTTATTCAGAGCAAGGATGAAAATTCGGATAGAAACCATTTACACCTTCAGTAATTTGTCACTGAGGTTGCATATATACATTACATTGCTATGTTGCAATACATCCAATCAAGCCTAACTAGACTAGTTTTGAAATGAAGCCAATCAGTCCAAGTACTGACAGGTACAGAGAAGAATTTTGTGGGTTGGTTCTTGGTTTTAGGTTTGTTTGTTTTAACAAGTACCCAATATGTCATTTTTGGGAAAGGAAACTTTATAGGACCTTCATCACATCTATATGGGTATGAGATAAGGGGGTCAGGATCTTTATTTTGGGTGCAAATGATTCACAAAGCCACAGTGCCTCTCTGGAGATGGTGCAATTGGGCCCTCTTCAGTGAGCATCACTTTCTTGTGCAAGGTGTCTATTGGTGACTGAAATGAATTATCAGGAGCAACTGCAAACCAGGTCACCTTGGCCTTTATATCCTTTTGGACACATTATTAGAATTAGGAACAGGAACCACAATGTTCCAGTGATTCCACAGTGAGTTCTACAAGGAAAGACAATTCAGAAAGACAGGATCCCAGTTTACCAACATGCTATTTAGTGGCTGAAATCCTGTTGAGCAACAGGAATTATTTCATTAGTAGCGGTAAATTGCAACTGACTGAAAGCTTCCTTTGGCAATTTTGAAGTATACATGACAATGTGACAAAGCAGCACACATCCTTTAATCACCAAATGGAGGCTTTAATCAGTAGCAATTTCCAGCTACTCAGGACATCACTCCAATTGCACTCAAAGATTTGTACAATAGGATTTCAGCCAGTATCTTTTGACATTAAATAGTAAAAAAAATTAAGATGAAACTGTGAGGCATCTTACTATATTAGAACATTGTTTTTTAAAAAGCAGAATAATTTCCGTATTTAAGATATTAAAAGCAAACTGCAGAAATTAGGGACTGCAAAAGAATAGCCTGGCTTTATCTTAAAAAGCTTTAGAGTATTAATTCATATTAAAAATTAGACGTAGTAACAAAACTACTGACAATGAGGGAAATAGCACAATTTTTATTTCAAGCCTTAAAAACTGGTGATTTTTAATGTGGTGATGTTTGCAGAGTCTTAGTAATAGGTAAGGCTTAGTGACCACTGATGAAGGCAATGCATCGAAATTTCTCTGGCTTGTCTTGTTATCATATTGTATATGGGTAACGTATTTCATTTTAATTTAACTTCAGAAGTTTTTTTTAAAAAAATACTGGCCATATGCTTTTACTGATAAGTTATGATATGAGTAGGTATAGTACCCTAACACTACTTGTTCAGACAGATCATCTTGGGGGGGCAGGGATCTTTAACTTTTGTTGTTTATTGTCATTGTGATGGCAACACCATTTATTTACAGTTATTCAGTCCAAAAGGAGGCCAAAAAGTAAAACTAAACTTCATTTCCAAGAAAAGTGCAACATGGAAGGTACTACACGAGCGTCTCGAAGCAGTAATGGACAATGAAAAATAATACAGTGGTGCCTCGCTTAGTGATCGCTCTGTTGAGCAATGAAATCACTTAGCGATGGGGTTTTGGGCATCGCCAGAGCGATTGCTTAGCGATGGCCCTTATGGGGAAAAATCGCTTTGCAATGATCGCGGGAAAGCGATCATGGCAAAGCAACCCTTTTTGCACAGCTGATCAGCAGTTCCAAAATGGCCGCCCGCTGTTTTGCCTTGCTTTAGAGGCACTGAAAATGGCCGCCCCTATGGAGGATCTTTGCATAAGGTCAGTTTTTAAGCCCATAGGAACGCATTAAACCATAGGAACGCTTAGCGATTAAATTGCTTAGGAACGTTTTTCCTGGAACATATTAACGTCGCTAAGCGAGGCCCCACTGTATATTAAAAGTCAATCCAGCCAGAACACAAATTATGGGAATGGATGAGTCATCTGCTCAAAATGCTAGCTTTCTGTATGATCTAGATTGCCTTGAGCTCCCTCTAGGTAGGACAACGGTTCCCAATCTTGAGTCCCCAGATGTTCTTGGATTACAATTCCAAGAAATCCTGGCCAGCACAGCTAGTGATGAAGGCTTCTGGGAGTTTTAGCTCAAGAATATACGAGGACTCAACGTTGGGAACAACTGCTCTAGAACACAGTCCATAACAGGAGTCCATTCAGAATGAGTAGAAACTGGAGGTTCAATGGTCAAGTAATTCAGGGAAACTTCCACCATCTTAGGCTACATTCTATATCAGGTTGTCTTTGAATGCAGATAGGCAACTGCAAGTCATTTTAAAAACAGCTGTTAGACTGCTAATTTAGACCAAGTTTGTGAAGCATATCTGTGGCTATGAGGAAAGACATCTACTGGCTCCTGAGCTATTTTCAAGATCAATTCAATGTAGTGGTCCCAAACTTTAAAGCCTTGGACCCAGACCCCAGATATCTGGATCAGCTTCTTCTATACTACTCAACTGAATTAGTGAAAACTTTTAAAGGTAACACACTGTCATTTTTGGTTAAGACAGAGGGGACAAGAAACTGATACTTTTCAATTGTGGTCTTTCCCCAGGAAGACTTGCTTGTCATGTATATTAATATGATTTCAGTACTCTTCCATACTCCCTGGCATGTTTAGACCTTTAGATTTTTCAAACTCTTTAAAGCAACTACACACTTTTTGTAAGATGCATCTAATGACTGTGTTGTAATGCCATACAGTGTGCCAACAGTACTTTCAGCAAAATGTTTACAAAACCTACTAAAGTTATGTTTCGGACATACAACTTCATACAATAGCTGGCACTCCAAAAATTATTAGAAACCTTAATACAATTTAACTGCTGTTTTCTTAAGTAAAAACCACAATGAAACCTCAGAGGGAACTAAAGAAATTCTGTATCATCTAAGGCTTCTTGCCAACTATTGTTCCTTTACTAAATAAAGGAATAACATGTATTTATTCTAATTCAAAATTGAGTTATTATGAGAACCAGAAGCCAAACAAAAGATAATTTAAATAATGTATCTTTCCTATAAATAAATTGTCACTAAGAGGCTTCAGATGAACTGAGCAGCTGAAATCAAAGAAACATATTGTGCCACCAAGTACATATTTACCTGGCATATAGCTTCCGGTCTCAGTGGAGACTCTCTTATACGATATGAGTCTGTTAAACTGGTTCCTCCACTTCCAATTCCTGTCCTAGTATTTCCAGAACTGGATGGTTGAGCAGCTCGTGGAATTCTTGACGGCTTTGAGTCCATTTTCTCCCTACTGTGAAAGAAATATTCATATTTCTCAGTAACACTCAGTAGATGTGCAACAATGAAATTTTATTGGCCATATCACTTGTAACTCTACAAGTGGGTAGAGTTTGGGTCCAATGCTTCTGTACAAAACCGAGGACCAACACAGTAATGTTAAATGAAAGACACAAAACAAGTCATGTCAGAGAAGATGTGGGTATCAGAGTAGTAATAAACTACAAGTGTTAATCATTTGGCAAAAGGTTTGCCAATTAACTTTATTAAATAACAGTGATGGTGATGCTGCCTTCTTATAGTTTTTATACAGCATTACAGATAAACTAAGCCAGTGCTTGTAACGCTTTCTGCCAACCTTTGAATTGAAAGAGCTCCAACATATTGGATTTTCATACAAAGTAGTTTAGATTTTGCTCTAAATATAGTAGAGTGGTGCCTCGCATTACAAGTGCCCCATTTTACGACGCAATCGCTTTATGTTGAAGGTTTTGCGATCGCAAAAGCAATCGCAAAAGGATGTTTCCTATGGGGGAATTTTGCTTTGCGATGATCAGTTTCCTGCTTCGGGAACCGATTCTCACAAAGCGATGATTTTCAGCCAGCTGATCGGCGGTTTTAAAAAGGCTGCTGGATAAAAAACATGTTTTCTGGGATGGATTCCTCGCTGCACAGGATCTTCGCTGGACGGTGAGTTTCAAGCCCCTAGGAACGCATTAATCGGGTTTTAATGCGTTTCTATGGGCTTTTAATTTAGCATTACAACGTTTTCGTTCTACAGTGATTTCGCTGGAACGAATTAACGTTGTAATGCAAGGCACCACTGTACAAAAATTGTGGCAAAGTTATGCTTTAAACAAATATGGTCCCACTTTAGCTACTGATCAGGGTAGAGAAATCCATTTATGCCTGATGACATAACCTAGAAAAGGATTAACAACCATATACCACATCAAAAAGTGCTATCAAGTACAACTAAAAACTTGCCAGAAGAAAACCTAAAAAGGCCAGGGGGCAGGTCTCCTTTGACAACAGTATTTCTGAAATAAGACAGCAGACAAGAGTAGAAACACTACCCACCTTGCGAGAAATCACAGAAAAGCCACTCTAAATTGTAAGGGACAATTTTTAAAAAAATAATGGATAAAAACAACTCTGCCAATAGTCTATGAGACATTGGCCTTGAAGTCTGGCATCATGGCAGTAGTAAACAAAATCAAAAGCCAGGTGGAAATCTAGCTTATCTCAACACAGAGAATACATCTAACCCAGAATTAAAACAACTGACAGTTTTACAAAGACAAGCTCTCCTGAAAATGCTTATAGAGGTTGTGAGAGTTCAGATTTTAATTCTTATTCAGCTCCAAATAAATCATCAGACTTGCAAGGTTTAGAAATCGGAGTATTATTTATTACGTTACTTTACTTGTTTCTATTTGTATGTTGTGAGCCGCCCAGAGTAGACCATGTCTAGATGGGCGGCATATAAATGCAATAAATAAATAAATTTAACAAAACCAGTGTTTGCAAATGTATTCCAACCATCTTTCTCCTCCAACAACGGATCAGATAGGGGTTTCCATTCTTCAACCTTAAAGGGGTTTCCCTCTTGAACATCCCATGGTCCCAGCCACTCCATAGCATCTCCCCGGCTTAGTATCTGTCTGGTCTCCCCTTCCAGTAAGGGGACGGTGTCCTCGTCTTGGTCTTCCAGCCAGGCCAATTCTCTGGAGGCGGTGGGAACCTGCCAGGGCCCCCAAGCTGTCCCCTCATTTGCATCTCCTTCACCGTCCATTCTACCCTTTCTCTTCTTTCTCTTTCTACCTTATCCTTTTCTTCTTTCAACTTACTCCTCCACTCTTTAGTCTCTCTCTTACCCCAATATGAAGGCTTTGGGGTACTCTCTCCTCCTCCTGGCATCTGCCTCTCCCTTTGGTATTCTTAGCTTTTCCAACTTCCACATGTCCTCTATCCAGAACCATTCCCAGCCTGGCCGTAACTCCTCCTCACCCCACATATGTGCCAGACCAGCCTCCACCTCCACCCAGGGTTTCCTCCTTTCTCTTCCCACCAAGATTATCCTGCATTCTTCAACCGTCAACCCCTCAAATTCTCCTCTATCTTCCCCGAGTCTGTTATTGGTGGCCTTATCTTCCTGGATGGGGGAACTGGCAGGGTCTGTACTTCCTCATCAGCAGTAGGGACGGCACTCCCATGAGAGGGACTTTACTCTCACCTCCGGCCTTACAGAGGGAAAACCTGTTGTATTAATTTGTGATCTTCCACAAAACCTAGTTAATGCTATGTGTTCAGGTCCAACCGTGGGGATATCAGCAAGCAATAATAGCTTATTTTGTTGTATTGTATGCGTGTAATATATTTCTTAAACTAGGTCAACTAAACACGCAATACAGGTATTGGCATGTCAGTGCTACATCCATTCAATCCATAAACTTCTTCTATGCTAGCATTTGTACATAACAGCCAAGGCAATCTAAAGAGATATTTATGTGTACAATGCAGCATGGATAAATTCTTCTTACTCACACAACATACTTACATCAGTTGTCACAAAAATTGTGACTAAGTAGCTTCCTTTTTGATATTTTAAAAAGGAAGTATTGCTTCTTTGTTCCCTTTACCCTTCCCCTTAAATTCCCAGAATCACAAACGACTGGTCAATGGTTACACATACACACAAACAAGAGAAGGCAGGTTTCATCAGGCAGGCTCTTCTGGTTTGTATGCATTCACTTTAATGCCTAACCAGTTCCTTCCTTCCTTTTTCTAGTGTCAATATCTTCTTCATTCTGACTTTTCTGTTATGTTAAGAATCCAAGGGTAGTTAACCTTTCACTGTAAAGGACAAGACCTCCGTTAAAGAGTTTTTTAAAAATATATAGATTAGAAGGATTGGACCATGGGATCACATAACCTTCACATGACCTACGTGAAGGGCAAAGAAGAACTGCTGAGTCAGAAAAATACAATCTGCTTTCAATGCTTATGTACAAAATAGTTAACATAACTTTGTGTCAGCATCTGTGCCTATTCTAAGGACTTCTCGGCTATGCTGCACATTATTTTCCAGCTGTAAGGAATTCAATAACTGTGAACTATGCTTTCTGATGTTGCCATTGGAACAGCTACCTGTCTCCTCTTTACTACTGCCACGAATCAAAAAGAAATTTTTTCCACAACTTTAGGATTTATGTTGCTGTTCACGACCTTCCAATGACAGCCTACACACTACAGGGCAGACTAGCTCACTTTAAGAATATTTGTTTGGTGTAACATCTATTCATTTCACAACACTCTGTGGACATCTCATTTGTCCTCTAAAATTGGTATTTAGAAGTATACTCCTTCTCTGCACTGAGTCCATTCTGTCACCATGGCTAACAGCCACAGATACATAAATCTAGTGTCCACAACATTTCATTATTTTTAAAAGCCATCTAAGCTAGCCTCAACTCTAACACATCTCCCTCAAGGAATCCAGTGTCTGTTCCTTTCCCTCAGTAAAATCATCCATTTATTCCTACTGCTGCTTTCTTTTAAGAAATAGTACCCATCTGTTGTCTTGCCTTATTATACCTAAAGTGTTCATAAGAACCTGCAACGACTTTCAAAAAAAATCTGAAAGTTCATACCTACCAGATAATCCTGTGCATTCATGTAAGCCATGCTTTTTGTTAACCATGACCTTTTCCTTGAACCATGAACTGCACTTTAGGCAGCCAAAGACGTGTTTTCTTCATTTCTGATTTCTCTCTTCACTGTTGTAAAAATGTTATTCTTTTATTGTCCTCCTTCACATTGGGCAGCTGGGGAAATAATCCACAGTTGTAGTTTTCAAAGTCAGAACAAGCCACAATTTAAACAACCCAAAGTCAACAGCAAAAGATAGTTTGCTAATAAACTTTGGTCCATTGAGGGAGGTGTGTTAAGTCAAATGTCAACAAACCACACCAAGACTTGTTGTGACATGTGAATGGAGACCCTTCCTTTATGTCTGCCTGATCAACATACATTCGGGGGGCACTGTCATCAAGAAAAATACCTATCTATCTATCTATCTATCTATCTATCTATCTATCTATCTATCTATCTATCTATCTATCTATCTATCTATCTAT